TTGTTTTTTTCTTCATTCATCCATACCGCTTCCCGCGCCCCCCCTGCAATGGCATTGTGCCCCCCCTAGGGGGCGCGCCCCACACTTTGGGAACCACTGAGTTAAGGCGTCCCTCCGCTTGACCAATTGGAAGCTACCTTGGACACTCAGAAAAACTTAGAACTTCCCCTAATTGACGGCCTGGCCTCCAGGAATTCTAAGGTCATCTGGCTAAGCAAAACATAAGATAAGATTTCACAGATAGCTTCGGAATGCGGGGCCTCTCCTGCCATCCTGACAAACAACCGGAGCCTCATTGCGAGATCCCCTCTGACCTACATTTTCCTTCCTGTACTTTGAATACTTACCCATCAATAGTTTAGTTTTAAATCATTAACACAAACTTGTTCAAAATTAAGAAATATGTTCAAAATGAGAGTGTTCAACATACCTTTTACACATGCCATAAGATTAACTGTATTAAAAACTAAATATAATAATTTTTCTTTAACAAAGCCCAGTTTAACTTTTAATTTCTTAACAAGTTTATTAATCAAATGTTTGAAGGTGAGGGATTCATTAATTCCTATTCCAAGGTACTGATATTCATGTTCCACCTCAATGACATTCCTCTCCAGAGTGGACACTACTGGAAGGGTTTGAGGCACCTTGCATTGGCTTCCAGACTTGTTTTCCACAGCTTCATTGAGTTCTTGATGAAGGCTATTAGTGTCCTTTTGATCTTACATTTCCAAGCATTCCAGTATTCATGTATCTGGCATTGAGTCGTAGGCTTTGTTATAGTCAATCCAGGCAGTGCACAGATTTGTCTGCCTGGTCTTACAGTCTCGAGTGACTGCTCTATCCACTAGTAGCTGGTGCTCAGCTCCTGTGGTGTTACTGCCTATTCCCTTCTGGGAAGGGTGCATGTATTGAGTCATGTGCCTACTCATCTTAGCCGCTATGATGCCTGACAGGACCTTCCATGTGGTACAGACACAATTTATTGGCTGGTAGTTGGATGGGATTGTTCCCTTCTGGGGATCCTTCATGATCATGATTGTCCGTCCTTGGGTTAACCATTCTGGGTGGGTCCCATCCATCAGCAGTTTCAAACAAGGCTACACATGGTGAGGTTATAAAAGACAGACCTGTTTTACCACACAGCTGTGGCTGGATCAATGCACGCAGCTCCAAGCTGACGAATAATAAGGGTCCTATTTTTTTTTAAGTTTGGATGCTGATTTTGCTTTATTACAATGCCAAAAGCTGAAAAGATAATAAAATACAGCTCAGAAAAGACACTGGGGCTTATTTTATCTTGAAAAGCAGCAGTTTCACTGTTTTTTTTTTTTATAGATTTCTATGTTATCATAGATGTAAAAATATTACATTTTGCTATATACACTGATTCTGAAAAAACGTTGAAACTACTGGCTTCACAAAAGTTTTGTGGTCATCAAAATGCTTCAGTGTTATTCTATGAGTCAAATAGTGAAGCAAAGCATAGTAAAAGCATTTGGCACAATTTAGTAGCCCGATAAACCAGACTTAATGTGAGATTAAATGTGTCATTTAGTCTGGCTCTGATAAATGAAACATCAGAAGATTGCTGATGAGAACAACCCGTTGTTTTTCAAACCATGTCTGTGGCTATTGGCCAACGCTCTGACCAATGAGGGCCACTGAATGTGACGTAGGAAGCGCCACAGGAAGCTTGTGGGGGAGTGGAAACAAACAGCCTGACGGTAAAACGCCGAAAACGTCCTTCTTAAAACTGAATGAACGTAGAGCCTCTTCCTGCTCAGGTTTCAACGAAAACCCAAAGTCTAATCCTTCCAGAACTGATTCCAAAGCTGAGTCAAACCAGAACTGTTCAATAGTTGTTGTCATCTTCCTTGTTGTGCTTCTCCAACGTCATGCAGCTTTTTCGTCCCGCCCTCAAAACCCCACCCACTTTGCATCCAGAAATTCAAAACACATCTCTGCGTTGTGATTGGCCCGCCATATTTAGGGTCTGGGGTATTGATCGAGGCTAGACCACTCGCAGGCAGCTGGTGGGCGGTTCTAATTTACAAGGCTAACAATTTGGCACATTTGGAGAGGTTTGGAGATGCTGATTACACCAGATGTTCAAAACCTCACAGCTCTGGAAGTGTTGTAGCTAAAGGTCTGAAATGTTCTGCATTCTTGGTTGACATGATGTAGAACAAATGTAATACAATAAGACCTGCCTTTTCTCGAGCATGTCTTTATTACTGCTGTTCAAAAAGACCTATCATTTTCAAGAATAGACTGTGTCCAGAATTGTGTTTTACTCACCCAATTTTCATTTATATATTCTGAAACAAGAATGATTTAGCTTTCAAATAATGTAATAAAGATGTAATTTGGGTTTACACTTCCTAAGTTATTTGCTTTTATATTAGAGTATGCAAAATAGGTGAGAAGTTACCAAACTGAGGTGGCTATTTTAGACTCTGCTATAATACTGCGCACTGATTATGAATCTCAATATTTTCCAACAGAGAAACAGGAGCTGAGGATCGTGGTGATTGGGAGCAATAATGCAAAGAAGAAAGAAGTGATTGACATGATCTGGAAACATCTTCAGCATAGTAACAATCCACATCGGACCAGGAGTTGCTGCCTAAAAGCTAAGGGTTACCCTGTGAGCTATAAAGGCCGTGACATGGTTATTTTTAAC